AACTAATTTCTGTAGTTCAAACAACTTAGAATTGTAGTTGAGAACGTCTGTTACAACGGCTCACGTATTAAAAAATAGTCGGGTTTAAATCGGGCTCGGGCTCATAATTACAGTTAATGTGTCGGACCGGGTCGGGCTCGGACACAAGGTGCACGGGCTCGGGTAGGGTCGGGTTTAATTTTTTGGGCCCGATCTAAGCTCTACCCTAGCCCCAGGGGTGCTGCACGCTGGCTGACCCTGTGCTGTGACCCCCATGCTTTCTCTCATCTGTCTGTGTGTTTCACAGACAGCAAGATGGGATAGGTGAAGCGAGAATTTGCCTTCAGTGTTCAGTGAAGTATTTATATTCTATCACTATTCTCACTGTGCATGCAAAGTGTTACATTGTAACACCAAAGCCAGTGACAGCGGGCTTATGCACCACATTTTGACCTGTAGCATAAAACATTCTAGTTTTCTTTCAGTAAGGATTCACATCCGTTTGCAAGTTTGCTTAACCTGATCACAGTATGGCATGAAGCTCCCTGTATTCAGGAAGCTGGGAAGGATTGGCCTGCCTCTCATTTCCTTGGCCACGGATTACTAACCCCCATCCCCCACCTTGTCCAAAGACATAACCTCTCTAGTGCACCATAAAACATAAATCTGCATGATAAATACCTTGTAAAATTAGATGTGTAATAATATACACATTCAGATACCACTTTATTAGGTAGATCTGTTTGTTGACACAAACGTAAATAGCAAATCATGTGGCTGCAACTGAATACACACAGACAGGCATAACCGGCTCAGTTACTGTGCGGCCGAGCCTTAGAATGGCTAAGGTACGTGATCTAAGCGATCTGACGCATGATGTGATTGGTGGTGCCAGGTCTGGTGGTTTTGGCACCTCAGACCTCCATCCTGGGATTTTTACACACCGCAGTGTGTAGAGTTTATGGAGTATAAAAAACAAACAAAAACATACCGCCGGGGACAGTTCTGTTGCCCAAAATGCCTTGTTAACGATTGATGTTGGAGGCGAGTTGGCAAACAGGATGGCCATAAATTCAAAAATACCAGCTCAGTATGAAAAGTGGTGAGCACAAAGGGTTCTCCGAGTGGAGTGCGCAACTTGTCTACCCTTTGAAGTCCTGGGGAAAAAGTAGGTCCTACCTGGTCCTATATCAGGGTACCTAATAAAATGACAACTGAACGGATATCTAGTTTATATCTATTACTTCATATCTAACATTAACTTAATGAAGCAACATACCAGTGAACACTAAAAAAGCTATATTCATGGAAACATCATCAACATTATAATTATCTTCATCATCATCATCATCATTATTGTTGCTGTTGCTACAGCTGCTAACGTGAAAGTGCTTGTTAAGTTATTTAAGTCCTTCACAGTGAGTGCATGAATGTCTGTGTGTCTGAAGATCAGCCTGCATGAATCCTGTATGTTGTGAAAATTGAACAGCTCTTTGCTTCTGATCCACACTTGCTTCTCTAGTCTGTGGTGCTCCAAAGGGGAGCTTTGATGTCGTTATCAATTCCTGTTAAAAAAAAAAAAAAACCTACCTCAGATGCAGTGGTTTTCTCCCACAATCTAAACGCACGCTGCCAAGGACAACAAACTCCATTGTATTGAGTGTACCTGTAAGAACATGTGTGTGTGTGACCAGCAATGACCTACAAATACTAATTCATGTAACCCTGCCTTTACTCGATATACAGTATAGATATAGATCTTTTTGATCTACTTTGGCAGAAATAGCATTTTAAAAAGGATGGCTAGATTAATAAATCTAGAATCTGCACAAACACAGTGCTAATATAAAGGTGACATGGTTAATGACTCAAAATAACTCATAATCTTGCACCCCTACAAAGTTTACCCTGTCCTCTTGACAGCAAAGCATGCACTTAGCTGGCTAAATGGTCAGTTAAGAAACATCTAAATAGACACCAAGCAACGTGGCAGAAATGGCATAAAACCTGTTTATGGTCTGGAGAGTTTTTCTGCAGACATTCCGTTATTTGTTTCATAAACGCGACTTGGTAGCCATATTGCAGGATGTGCCTGTTCCACTGCTCAGTTCGTAGCTTGTTTCTTTGAATTGCATTCAAGAATGTGTCCATTTTCTAATTGAAAGCAGAAATATGGTATTTGCATTCATGTATAGCATCTAAATTAAATATAGTGAAATTTCAACTCTTGCTGGGAGACACTGGATGAGGTGTTTGAATATTAATGTCATTTGGACAGGAAAACTCACTTCCTGAATCTTAATTTGAACCATACACAGCTAGTCAGTAAAATTATAAATAGATTAAAAAGGACTGCTTGCCTAAAGATACATGAGCAATTTAATACCTCATATCAAATGGTTTCTTGCACAGCTATCTATTCCTACTAACTCCGTATACTCTCCAAGTCTTAGCAATTCATAGTCAATCCCACAATGCACTGGGCACAAAGCAGGGACAAGGTGATCGTCCGCCACAGGACAGGCACTGAAGATAGATACCTGAGCTCCCAGAAGGAGACAACACAGAGCCAGAACTAGAATAGAAACCCGAAAGTGAGATGACATTATTCACCAAGTCACCAGGCTGTCCCACTGTTGTAAATCTATTATAGATCCATCATCCTGGATATGGTAACAGGGTTTTGGGGACATGGACCTTATCCCAGGCAGCATAGGGCATAATGCTTAATTACACTCTTTAATGCAAAGCCGCGTACAGATACAATATACAGAAATTTATGCCGATATTCACTATGGAATATTCCATTTAGTTGAGTTAGCCCTAGAGATCACTGATGTTGGTGTCATTTGAGAGCATCAGCGTGATTAATAAATTTGTTTTTAATGTTTGTCAAACCACCCAATAGCAGAGGTGGAGATTTCAGGTCCAGAGAGTACAAATCCAGACCAAGATTTTGTTTCAACCAGCCAGCTGAGTACTGTGACTGTGACTCTTTATACTCAACTGGTTGGTTGAAACAAAATCTTGGTCTGGATTTGTACTCTCTGGACCTGAAATCTCCACCTCTGCCCAACAGAAAACTCTACTGATACTGGTTTATGAAGCTGGACTTACGTTTGTAGTGCACAAGGACTTCAAAAGGGAATTGAAAAAAAAATAACCATAATGGTAAATGGGGTTAAATTGTAAAGAACTGTTAACATAAAAGCCATCTTACTGTCTTTTGCATATCCTATTAGCCAAAAACATACATAAGTGGAACAGACAAGCAATTTTGATAATAACCAAGTGCAGAGCACACCAATCCAGGAAACAGTATTTAACACGAAGGCCCGGTAGAGAGGAACACTATTCTGGTCAGATTTGCTGGCCAAGAAAACTGTCTGCTGTCTTTCCAGCTGCTCTTCCTGGCAAAAATGAATACCAGACCCGGTCCGAGGGAATCCCTCAGTGATTCACTAGGGGCTGCTTTGAGCTCACATCTTCAGGCACTTCATCTGTCGGTACCGATGCCTGAAGTCCGTCTATTTAGTGCTGTTTCATGTGATGGCGAAACCTGTTGACCAAGAATGTAGGAATGTGTTGCTCAAATGCAGCCTCTATTGTATAACTAAACAGCCACAAAATAACGACTTGATACATCTCATTAATGTTTCTGCTAAATGAACCTGGTCTAACATTTCGGTTCACATCTCTCACTCTAGTGAGTAATAGTTACTTGTGGTTAGTGATAAGTTACTGGACAGGGTTCCAACACCAGATGAAAAGTTACTTCTCACTTCACCCGTTTCAGTTTTAGACAACTGCAAAGCATACGAGGCAGGGAAGGGTTAAATTAATTTGAGTTCAGATGACTTGTGTCCCCTCCCACCAGCCTTTCCTGGGGATTATAGCGTCACTTTGGCCGGGGTGGGGGGCAATTATAAATCCATCCCATTGCCCATCTCTGCTCTGTCAGAGAGGTTGAATGTCTGATAGACGTGTTTAACATTTGTCTATCTATATTCTGCTAACCCCTGCTACCACCGGCAACGTACTTCAAAGCGCATGCACAACTCCACTGGTGAAGACTTTGTGGACAAATGCAGACTCAGTCAGTCACATTCCGTTCATCTATTAGGTGAATGCTTTTTGTCCTTGGCTGTCCTTACCTTAGACAAGAGTTGTTGGATTTTTCTCTTTTTGACTTTTTTCTTCTGATTTTTTGTGCATTTTCAAAAACTTTTTGGTAATCTATTTCATCTCGCCAACTTTCAGGAGAATTACTAATTTCCTGTTTCCCCCCCACCCTCACTAGTTTGTTCAGTACGTACTTGCTCCAACCTCCTTGTCTACATCTCCTCCCTTGGTTTTTTTTGGAGTTACTCCTGAAACTTCCCGAGAATGTGGGAGTTCCGCTCGATGTCCTTCTGGAGGGCGGTCTTCGCCGAATTCTTCGGCACCATGTTCTTCGTGTTCATCGGCATGGGTGCGGCAACGCGCTTCGTCAGCGGGCCGCACTACGTGCTGAGCGTGGCCTTCTGCTTCGGCCTGGCGGGGGCCACCATCATCCAGTCCATCGGCCACGTCAGCGGGGGCCACATCAACCCCGCCGTCACCTTCGCCTACCTGGTCAGCTCGCAGATGTCCCTCTTCCGTGCCTTCTTCTACGTCGCCGCTCAGATGAGCGGTGCCGTGGCGGGTGCGGCGGTGCTGTACGGGGTCACACCGGGTACCATGCGGGGCAGTTTGGCCCTCAATAAGGTAAGTGTGCCTTTGCTTGGTCCCTGGCCCTGTTGCCTTTGCCCAACACTGCCTCCCTTACCTACAGCAAAGAAGATTCACGTCCACATAGGGAGTTGACTATCACCTTCTTCAGTGTTAAAAACAACCAAGGTAGCAACCAAGGTGCCCCATTCCCTGGACGTCCAACTTAAATTTGAACCCTTCAGCTCCTCCACTCTTCCTTCCTGGTCTGTCTCTGTTAAAATAAGGCTCTCTTGGCTAAAACAGGAGTTCGAAGCTCCGGACATTATTAAGAAGTAATAAAAATACCTTTCGTGACGACATGTCAACACATTGCCTCTGACTTTGTCTGGTGAGTACATACCACCACAAGGTCGCTACGAGATTACGACCAATCTGGGGAAATACAATCAAGGTGAGATGTTATCGAACGGACAGAACTGCCCCCTCGGTTCACCTTCTCAATCACGAGGAGAAAAAATAAGCCTGGGATGCCTCTTCCTGAGGCTGCAGTTCTGCATGCACGTGAAAGTTGAGATTCATAGTCCTCCTGAAGATATTAAAAATAGACATGAAAGGGGGAGATCCATTTGCAAGTTAGGCAGGGCTTCCTCAGCACAAGGGAACTGGTCAGGCATGCTTTGAGACAGGCTTAACTTGTACTTTAATCTTGCTTCAAAACATCACATACACTCATAAAACAGTTGATGCTCTAGCATATGATCTGGTAAAACTTTACAACTTCTGCTATTGTTATAATTCAGGCTGCAAATGCACCTAAAATTGTCTGTGTTTCAGGGTATTGAAGATCATTTTTGTGTTTAGATCACATTAGATATGATGTCATATAATGCTGGGCACTGCAGGCTTTGCCTTTATCTGCCTAAGCATCTAGCAGAGACGATGCATGTGCTGTCACCTTTGTCCTACAGGGGGCGACATTTTCTCCCTGCCTGAGTCTCTTTGTTCTTTGCGGCCCAGCTGCAGCCTGGCATCAGTCTGGGCATGGCCACCACAGTGGAGGTGTTCCTCACGCTGCAGCTGGTGGTTTGCATCTTCGCCGTCACTGACGACCGCCGTAATGGCCGCCTCGGGTCCGCAGCGCTCGCCATCGGATTCTCCATCACCGTCGGTCACCTGATGGGGGTAAGAGAGGGTCTAGAAGACACTGGTATTTCAGGCATTCTTTGAATAGAGGTGAGGTGTGAAAACATACAGAAATGCGGAACCACAAGCCAAAGGGTGTAAATCATTACAGTACCCACTTTCCAACCAGAGAATCAGAGTCGTTAGCAAAACTCTCATCATTAAATATTTTTAAAGGAATATTGCATTGAGTATAATAGTAATTATACTATTGCTATAGTAGTTAATTATTATAATTACTATTATAGTAATTAATAGCAATTATAGTACTACTACTACTAATAATATTATAATTGCATAGATAATAATAATAAATAATAATATTATTATTGTAACAGTATAAATTATACTAGTAAGGTGAGTGTGTGGATAGATAGATAGATAGATAGATAGATAGATAGATAGATAGATAGATAGACTTTGCTTTATAACTTTATTAATCCTGAAGGAAATTGTAGGCTTACATTAGCACAACACACATTTAGACATAAGGTCTGTTCCCCTGCTTGCAGATGTACTACACTGGCGCTGGTATGAATCCGGCACGGTCCTTTGCACCTGCCATCCTCACCAGGAACTTCATCAACCACTGGGTAAGAGCCCACGCTGTACCATCAAGTTAGCGCAGAAATCGCTAATGCAGGAAATAATGTTTCAAAAGCAGCCCATGGTGTCAGAAGGTGTTTCATCTGGAGATGTGTACTGTGACATTAATGTCACAAAACGTCACACGAAGTCAGCACAACAAGATGTTGACACTGACAGCATCTTCACTCTAATGTCTAATTCTGTAACCAGAATAGCACACTAGAGCAACAAAGTATCATTCATGATACAATGTTTCATTTTTAAAATACATGGCAGACACAGGTATTATATACATAAAATACAAATTACTTCTTATAACATTAATTTCTTAAGTATTTCATATTAATTTAAAACAGAGCTGTGTAAAATATCAGCTGCTGGGCTCTTTGAAATGTAAAAGGTTCATTTTAAAATACATGAAATTATAGGCCGTGCCTGTGATTAACCTTCACTGCTGTATATTAATGTATCACAGCTTCGTGAAGCATCACAGGAGAATGGTGGATCGAGGCAGTTTGTTAATTGGAATACCTCTCCGTGATCTCAGTTTGGCAGTCTGATGGCTTAGGAGCCAGATTTGTATTCCGGCGGCTCAAATCCCGATGGATATCTTGCTGTAGTGCCCTTGAGCAAGGTCATCACGCTGAATATTCTCCCCATATTAAATAAAAGTGTTGGCTATTATAGCAACATGTCATTAAACTTGATTCCAAACACAAAAAATTTATCAGCTAAATCAGTCATTGTAAAATCTTGTGTATCCTAGCAACCTTTGCTATCAGGCAGTATTTTTGTCGACAGGGTTGCTGTGAGAAACCAGGCAGAGGTCCTTTTGCAGAGCAATGCATGATGCCTTCATTTCACCAAAAGCCAAAACAAATGTCTAGAACTCATAGCTGTTAAACAGGCAGGACAGTCGGTCAACCTGAGACAGAACCAAGAACTCAATCATAGTCCAAAATAGCAAACAATTTAAACAATTAATGGGTCAAATAACACAGGTAATACTAACTACAAAACACAATTCACAATACCTCACAATGAGCCACTGGACAAGACTGGTATTTATACAGGAAATAGCAAGCAGGTGATTTCACTTAACAAAGGAAGGTCATCTGGGCAGAGTAGCTGGTTGTATGGAAGATTTGGGTTGGCTGCTGGATCCTGTGGAGAAAATGTCTTTTTGGCTTCAGACGGTGTAAAGTTACGGGTGACCACAGGAGGGCCTTGGCATGCACCGCAGTCTGAAAGCCGTCGCCTAGCAACGCGATGCAGCCTCCGCGTGCATTCTGACCGCAGTGTCGCCGTTCTCTGTGTCTCTATCTCTCTGTATGTGCCGTGACAGGTGTACTGGGTAGGCCCTATGATTGGGGGCGCCGTGGGGGCGCTGCTCTACGACTTCATGCTCTTCCCCAGGATGCGGGGGCTGTCTGAAAGACTGGCCATCCTGAAAGGCAGTCGCCCCCCGGAGGACGAGAGCCAGGGCGACACACAGGGGGAGCCCATCGAGTTGAAGACTCAAGCCTTATAGACTGGACACGCAAGGACATTTTCGATATAATACCCCCCCCCCCCCCCAAACCTACCACCTGCAAACACATTCGTTTAATACCACCCGCTAACTTTGGATATGCATATTTACCCAGTATAAAAACACATGTAGCCCCGCCCCCAGCTCGCTGTGTCTATACCCTGCCCATACATCTCACACTGCCAAATCAGACCCAGACACTGTAGTAGGGCCAACCAACGTTTACACCATCACTACTACACTCCCTTTCTTATTAAAATCGACCCATGAACAATCTCCAACAGCAACCCCCCCCCCCATAAATGAGACCCAACACGACAGGACTGAGATGCGGCTGCTGGTGGATGAGGCTGGTGGATTCACCCTGACAGGAAATGGGTTGCGTTGGACTCAGCAGCTCAGGGCAGGGTGTCTCTCAGATGTGGGCTACTCCAGGCTTTGCTGCTCTATCAGATGTGGGCTACTCCAGGCTTTGCTGCTCTATCAGATGTGGGCTACTCCAGGCTTTGCTGCTCTATTAGATGTGGGCTACTCCAGGCTCTGCTGCTCTATCAGATGTTGGCTACTCCAGGCTTGCTCTACCTGGCTTTACCTCTGCTTCCCGTCGCTTTGGGCTTCCTATGAATGATGTGACATGGATATTCAGTTTAGAATTCGCCATAGTTTCATTATTTAATTTTATTCGTGTGTGTGTGTCCTGTATGTTTGTGTTCAGCGAAGCTTCACTCATTGTGTTTGCCTCATGAAGCTCATTGTGTCTGTACGAAGCTTCCGTTTCATTTCTTCCCCACACGCTCTTGTGACTCTTGCCAGTGCTTTAATTTAGCCTTTTTCTGGCACGCTTCGCTTTCTACTTTTCCGAAGAAGCAATCCTCACAGAGATGCTACACCTCTAGCTTTGAAACACCCCTGTATGTTTATGTTAGCCATTTGGCCTGGTGTGCCACATTCTTTCTAAGGTTTAACTCTGACTGGGAGCCATTACAGTCTAGCTAAATAAAAAATAAACACAAAATCAAAAATCCTGAAATTGTCTTTTCTTAACTTTGGTGCAGCTCAAAATATGGTATAGACTATAGACTATCCCTTATTCTGTGAAGAAAATTACAACTTTTGCACTTGGATTTGACACCAAGGTCAATATTCTTACGAATCGTCCATACTTGACATGTGGGCTGTAATTCTGCTTCAGTGCTTGTAGTTTTTGGAGTTTTATAGACCTATCAGTTTCTTTTTTTTGGTGTTTTCAGTGGCATGTATCCTGAAATCTGGTTATTCTCATGTTATTGCCGGTGAATGTTTTTCGTAAGAGTTTTGTATCATTTCTTACGTTTTGGGAAAAAAGTGAGTGCATGGTGCAAGGAAAGTGATTGTATTGGTATTTTGTATTTTAAACTCTTAGCAGAAAAGGGTGGTATTGGTGATGTGGGCAATAGGCCAACACTATCTACTTGGGTTTAAATAATTCTGTTAGTTGGGAGTTGCTGATCAGAGTTCTTGGAGGTGTAGAGACATATCACGCTGACCCTTTATCGCAATCTTACCCCAGGTGTCGTGTTGAATTTTTTGGTTGGTTTTGGTTGACAAAGGAGCAATTAACTTGTTCCCCTTGTTCTATCGCTTCTTCTGCTTGAAAGACATAATGACGCCAACAATGCTGAGAATTAAGCTGGTCCACATGCATGAGATGAGTCATGTAAATGAAGGGTGAATACAAAACACTGAACACCAGCCCTTGTAAAAAAAGAAATTGGACATGATGTCAGGCTACATTCTTTACTGAACTAACCCAGTTAGCTAAAATTCTTAAGTTCCACCCTTGGATAGAACCAACATCATGATGCATTCCAGTTCCAATGATGCAATACAACATTAAAGCACCATGACAGATCCACGGCAGGTGATGCGTTACCAGGCAACAGCCCGATGGGGGTGGAGAGGGTGGAATGGGGTTTAACCTCACGACAGTCAGTCAGCCAATCAACTGTTTCTATTGCAGCACAAGGGTTTTCATTCCAGCCACTAGCTTGGCCTGCTTTGATTGTTAAGCTGTTTGAAGACATTTTACTTTGTGAAGATGAACGTGACACAGTTAGCAGTGATGTCTGTTCATCACTCGTGCTATTTATGAAGTGTGGACCAGGCAAGCTATTCTGTTGGGTTGAATATTTATATTTAATAACTGGAGATTTTGGTAATTGGGCAACACAAGCAGCATGATTTTTAATGTTTTGTCTATGAATAGAAAGGAAATTTTAAAAGAGTGTAGAGTGAAGCATTGGACAGATAGAAATTAGATTTTGATGTATTTTTTGTTTATATGCATTTCTTCACTATAACATTTAATTGTACTGGGGGAATAACCAACGTGTTCAAATTTTTCATAGGTTTAAGAAATATGACAGGTTATTGATTTACAAGTATTTTCCTACATTTACCTTGAAAAAGCTTTTTGGCATAATCCACTGCAGGTTTGGTTTTCTACAATGATATTTTTTCCTTATATCACCCATCAATGTTCAAGCCAGTCCCCCCCAGCCAGTCTATGGCATTGGTGTATTCCACATCTGCGCACATCCTTCCAACCATCTTCTGTACCTGTTTGGCCTGTTCAGGGTCAGATGGGGGGGGTCCAGGGTCTATCCCAAAAGCTATGGATGCAATAACCAGAACAGAGCAGCATCCTATTGCAGGCAGGGCACAGACTCCATTCACACCTACGGACAGCATGGTAACTCCAGTTCACCTTTGCATGTTCTTGCACTGCTTCATGCACAACGTGTTTCTCTTCAGGTTTATCCAAGGCTGACGGTTTGTTTTGATTCAACAAAAATGAAGCGATTAGGGCTGATGCAATATGGCGCCCCCCTTTGAAATCTCAGCTCTAAAAACCACGATTCTGCTCTAAACGGTCTGTCTTATAACTTCTAAGATGCAAGATAACGCAAAAAATAAAGATAAAATATGATTTATTGCAATATTTCAAATGTGTTTGCCATCTACCCTCCGTCTAATTAAGCAACTTTTATGTAAATAAATTTATGAAGAATAATGAATGTCTTCAGCTTTTTTTTTTGTAAATAATTAGCTCTTTTGTAGTATAATTAAAAGCAATTTACAGTGTGTAGTTTCATTTCAGAACTTTGAGTATATATTAGTTTCTGTACTTAAGCGATGGTCATAAAAGTCTATTAAGTAACACCAGTGGCCTGTACTACGAGGCAGGATTACTGGCTTGTCGGGGTAACTTGTCAGATTTAAGGTACCACAGTTTAAATGAACTTCATATTCGTTCACTTACATTTTGCTCAGACTACCTTAAATCCGACAAGTTACCCCGATAAGCAAGTAACCCCGCTTCGTAGTACAAGCCCCAGTACTATGATGGGGTCGCGCTTGCACCTGACTGAACTTCTGGTTGCCTTCGTGTAACATGCTTAGCTACTAACGTGTTGCTTGACAAAGTCCAGTGTTTTCTTCACTTTTATTTTGCACGTAATTACTCTCCAAACTCTGCAGTATATCCTGCCAAATTTCAAGTACCTTTTCAGCTTTCAGTTATTTTTACTATGACAATAACAACAACAACAACAGTAATTTCGGTTTAATACCTAAATCCACCTATAAACCCAGGCACTTATTTTTTAAATGTCATTTTGATTTCATAAGCACTGCTTTGCATGTGACCATGGAGAGCTGTTTGTGCAAAGTGAGAGACCAGAAAATGCATGAGTAAGAATGGAACTAGCATTCAACAGCGACACAATTGCTCTCCGGGGCGGCTTTGGAAATGTCATTATTATTACACAACACAGAAATATCGCCCCCCCTCTCCGATTATGCTCGCAGTTGTCGTTACCTTACAAAAACTCTGTTTCATCATTGGAATGTGATTTTACCTGTCAAAAACCTGTACTTTTAACATGCATACAAATCAGAAGACACAAACGTGTTTAGAAACAAATATAATTTACCTAAAATGGGATTATTATATTTCTTTGTAACTCATAAGCAGAAAAAAAAACTGAGAACAAACAAGCTGTCTTGATTTTGTACAGAATTTTAAGAAATAAAGAAACTTAAACACTCAGAGTGAAAAGCACTGCTTGTGAAGTAAATTCTGTGACATACTTCGGAACATAAATCCTTGCTGAATTTGTATCTGCGACAGAAATTAAAATATTATTTCACGCATAGCCCTCAGAAGGGCAGCCGAACGGGTCGCTCAGCCTCACACCTCTATTCCATGGCTACTTTCATAGTTTCAGGTGTTTCTCCTGGAGTCTTACCTACTGTTTATCTACCAACAAACAGAACTGCTGAACTGTTAATGACAGACACGAGAAACAACCATGATATGTGAATGTTATTTATTTTTTGGCAGATGGTCTTATCCTGAGTAATTTACAAGGCCAGCATTGGTACAATACTATTGTTTCATAATACAAAAAAGATACAAAGGAGCATTAATACCTCAGAATTTAATATACAGTAAAATGTATCAGAGGACAAACAATATTGATGTATAACGTAAATCCTGACGTGGAAACTATATAAATTCAACAAATTTCCTTGTGCATTATTTTCTTTTTTAAAAAAAAAAATCATTTATTTCCCTAGCTATGAGAAAGTGTTTCAGATCACCTTCTCCACTGGCTGGTAAATCAACCTTCTGTTTTGTTTACTGTGTGTGGATTCCAACAGGTTTGTGGAGGGCAGTAGCTGTACTATGTCCTTAGTGTACCGTGCTGAGAATCACCCCACATACAATTTCCAAACAGTTTGTGATATTATGGTCTAAAAAAAAACATCCCACCTGATGGAGACGATATAAACACTGAAATAGCAGTTCTATGGTCACAGCTGTCACGGAATCACTTAAAGCCTTGCTCTCCTTTGCATTGTATCACAAATCTCTTCACTTGCAAGGCATGGGAATTAGAACTTTGAAGCGGAATTTGTTTTTGTTTGGTCCAAAGGTGAACCGATTGTAGTCATGG